ATCTAAAAAAGGGACTGTAGTCGTATCACAGCACATAGTGAATTTGATATTCTCATCTTGTACATTTAATGACTCAAAGAATTCCTGTAGGTGGGCCCTGGTGCCGCTCCAACATATGAACACATTATCTATATATCTTTTCCAAACTAAGCATTTTGAAAATAAAGGATGTTGATAGATGCATGTTTCCTCCATTCGATTCATATACATGTTAGCATATGTTGGAGCGACATTCGAGCCCATAGCTGTACCCTTAATCTGTTTGTAGTACTTGTCACCAAACAAAAAGTAATTCTCCGTCAAAATGAAAGTCAGTAGTTCCCTAATGTATTTACGGGTCTCCCCTTGTTGGGTTAGTCTCGGGTCTCTATCCAGTGTCCAATCGACTGCCTCTATCCCTCTATTGTGGTCAATTGAAGTATATAGTGACTGTACATCCATGGTTACCAACCAAAAGTCACCTGGTGGAATCTGTATGTCTGCTAATAGTGTAAGAAATGTAGTCGTATCTTTAAGATATGATCTCTGTAATGGGACATATTTAATCAAAAATTTGTCCAGTATCTCTGCTGGGTGTTGGAATATCGACCCAGTCCCACTGACTATCGGTCTACCTGGTGGAAAGAGGGGGTTCTTATGTATTTTTGGGAGGGTGTAGAACACCGGAATTCTTGGGTATTTAAGGTTCATATATTTATATTCTCCATCAGAGATAATATTTTTAGAGAGGGCCCATTGGTTAAGCTTGTCTAGTGTACGTTTCAGATTGTGTGTAGGGTCTTGACTAATGAGTAGGTAATTAGTATTATCCATTAGCTGGGTCTCAATTTCTTTTGTATAATATGTACGATCCATGATCACCAATGCTCCCCCCTTGTCTGCCGGTTTGATAATAATGGATGCATCTTTCTTCAGATTATTGATATTCGACCAATCTTGTTTAGTAAAATTAATACTTTTCCTCTGATAACCATGTGTATATTGATGTTTTCTCCTGAGTTTATATATATCTTTTTTCACAAGATTGGTGAATATATCAATGGATGTATTAATATTATGTGGTGTGAAAGTGCTTTTAGGTTTCAAACCTGTATCAAGGGAAAGGACAGTGCGTGGACCAGACTCGGAAATGTAGTATCCCACAGTCTCCATATTTCCTTCCTCATATAGATCTCCCTGTGTAATCTGTGCAGTGTTGTCAGTAGATTCTGCTGCTGTGCAAGAATTGTGCTGATCTGTTGAAAAAAATGCACGTAATTTAAGTTGGCGAAAAAATTTATACAAACTGACGTCATATTGGTGCCACTCTATATGAGGTGTGGGAATGAAGGAGAGTCCCTTATTCAGGGTCCCCTCCTCCATAGGGGTTAAGGGCCTACCTGAAATATTGTATATTAGAGATTGCGTCTCGATTGGGGCGGTCGGCCCTGTCTTTTCTCCCGAATGCTTCTTGTTGTAACCCCCCCGCCTGGTGTTTCTTCGTGTCGTGTGCCTCTCTCTAAAAAAGTCATCCCTGAGGACGAGGAGGCAGAGGAGGAGGATGTAGCCCCTTCTGTATCTGAGCGCCATCTCTGTGTATTTGTATCTCTGTTAAATCTGTATGGACGATTATCTGCTCTAGAGTACCAGGTATAAACTTGATCCCTTTGGTAATCTAATTCGTCTCTATGAAATTTTTTCTTTTTGAATTCTTCCGTTTCTCTCTGATATTCTTTTAATTTTTCTTCTATTTGCTTTTTGAGCGTTTCTAAATCAGTTGATGCAGTGACCGCTGCTAGTTCTTGTTCCGCTGTTGCTATCTCTTTAATAAGTTTAGTTAATTCTTTCTGTAGAGATTCTATGGTTAATACCATAAGGTCCACTGAGCATTTGTTTAGAATTTTATACCATACTGTTCGGTGTTCAGCATTGTCCCTACATAATGTGGGATGTAACCTAACCCTCAGACCCCTTGGGATTCTCTTTTGTCTAAGATATTCTCCTAGGGTGTTTACATGTAGTTCCCAACTAATCTTTCTTTTTAAATCTCTCTCAAGTTTATGAGCTATTCCACGTTCACTATCATTAGTTAAAAATTCCCTAGCTCCTCTAAGAGCTGATGTGATACGGTTAATATCACCCTCTGTATAGGCCCTGGGGAGATAGCGCAGCTAAGCGGACAAGGGCACATGTAGGAGTGTGGGGATAGATGCATGGGATTGGTTGGGAAAGAGTGTGTGGGTGTGATTATGTTCTGTGTAAGTTAGTGTGGGGGAGGTCTTACCTCAGTGCCACTTGGGATTCGGGCCAGCAAACAGCTTCCTGTCCTCCAGCTCCTGTTTGCCTGGGCCTGCAGATTGACACAGCTTGATGGTTGAGGCTTTCTGGCTTCCCTCAGGGCTGCTGCAGCGTGGATGGTGGCCGGCTCCTGTGGGAACAATTGGCAAGCATTAATGAGGTATGGCTGCCGGTGTGGGCCCCCCCCCGCGGCCTACCTCCCCCTGGAGCACCCCCTGCGGTCTCCCCTGCTGCCTCCCATGCGGTCCCTGCCCCTGGGGGCCGCACCAGCACTGGCAGGCGTTCCCACCCGCCTGCCAGGCTCTCCCCTGATCCCACTCCTCGGGCCCGGTTGATGAGGCGGAGCCCGGGCCCGAGGCATCAACCAGGCCTACCAACTGGGGCCTGGATTTGCGGCTTTTCTGCGGCCGCGCGCGTGGCACGGCCTTCTGCCACGAGGCCTGCCACTGCCGCGCGGCCAGCCGCCTACATTGCCGCCCGGCCTGGTACTCCCAGGCCGGGGATGCGGCCTCCTACCACCGCGCGGCCTGCTGTGTCTATGGCCGCACGGTCCCTGACTGCAAGGCCGGGGATGCGGCCTGCTAATGCCGCGCGGCCACCTGGGGCGTCTGCCGCGCGGCACACACATGGCCCCCCCCCCTACCACACCATCCGCCCCGGCCGCCAGCGCTGGATTGCGGGCCGGGGGCGGTGGGCGGCGGATTCAGCACTCCGGGCGGCGGACGGCCGCCCGGCACCAGTCCAGGTCCCCCCGCGGCCGGCGGGGGGTTGGGGCAGTGAGTAGGCCCCCGCGGGCCGCACGGGGTACCTTAGTACCGCCGTTTGGGATTTGGGGGGTCTCTTTGCCCATCGGGAGCCTCCTCTGCCAGTGAGGAAGGCTCCCAGGGTGCTGTCTCCCCTTCTTCTCCCAGGGGACCCAGCTCTCCCTTTCTTGGGCCCCCTGGTCCCCCCTCCTCTTCCCCATTTTCTGCTTCCTTCTCCCCCCCTCTCTCTCCTCTAGTGGGCCTGCCCTCTCCCCTCCTTTTTCCCCCTCCTATTCTTTCCCCCTCCCCTGGGTCTCCATTCCCTCTCTGTCTACCTCTCTGTTATCCCCCCCCCTCCTCTTTCTAGCCTGCACCTCCCCCCCCCTTATCCAGCCTTGTTCTCTTTCTGTCCACCCCTCTATGTTCTCCCCCCCCTCCTCTATCTAGCTGCTCCCCCCCCCTGCTGGTCACTTACCTCGGCCGTCTCCTCTGGGGCGTGGGCTCTCCTCTTCTCCACTGCTCTCTTCTCTGGAATCTGCTGCAGTTCGTGGACCCGTCCAGCAGGTGGCGCCTGGATCACAGCTGTTGTCGTTTATGGATGCTGGTACTGTTGTTTCTTTGCCTCGTCCTTCTGCGTCTGGTGAGTACTTTCCCCCCCTCTTTAGCGCTTCGCGTGCATACGTTGTTCCTTCGTTGTTCAGTCTGGTCCTCCTAGCACGGTAAAAATAATAAAAAATACAACAATGGTATATAAAAAAAAAAAAAAAAAAAGTAATTTGCAGTACAGAAAATAAATTTGTGTCAATTACCGCATGGAATGAATTAAACGACAGCCAGATAACAGAACATACAACCGTGATTTAACTGTCAAGTACACGGTGATGGATGATCAAACCCCAAAAAAAAAAAAAAGTGTGTATATATATATATATGAACGAGGAAAGTCTGGGTACAAGGACAGCGCTTTCCCCCCTTTCGTTTTCAGTATGTCTCATTTGTTAGGTACCAGTGTCTGGCGCAGCGGATAGCGCCGGCGGTGCCTCCCAGGTTCGCATGACTCTGGGTGTTGCTGAGCTAATATGGCCCGCTTGGCTTGCGCGCACTACTAGGGAGCATATGGGGGAAGGGGCTTTATTACAGGTGTGTTCCCTCCTGCCACGGGGGTCCCTTGGCTAAGAGGGACATTAGGGGCTCCAGGAGGGTCATGGGGAGCATGCTGTGGTCGGTTGCGCCCCAGGGTGCATATTCAAATGCACCCTGTGTTCTGGATAGCATGGTCGGGGAGAGGGCTCCCCGAGAATGCACTGCGTGGTTCTGCGGTCAGGACACTTCCGGGACGCATATCGTCCCTGGGAGGAGCTGGGTTGGTGGAGGTACGTTTTGCGCTTTCGTGGCGGTGCAACCCTTCTTGGCCCGGGGCCGGATGGGCTTCAGCCTCTGGTTTTGCTTAGGACTCGCCTGGTGCCTCTCTGCAATCTGTTGGGATGGGGACTTGGTTGCTCTCGGTGCGGGACCCTCAGTCCATGTGAGAGCTCCTTCGGGTGGTGCGGGTCCAGTTTACCACGCACGCTCGCCTAGCTTACTTCCCGCTCGTTTACGGTGCCCCTGGAGTCCGCTCTGCGGGTCCCCCCGTTGGGATGTGGTGCCCATGGAGGAGCGGGGTTGATATCCCCCGATTCCTTATTTACTCGGTTGTCGTTTCCTTCCGAGGGCTGGGTTTGAGTTGGTGGCTCGGCGCAGTGGTCTGCGTGGGTGGGGCTGCGGGGCCCTGGGGCCTTGCTGCCGGTACGCCCGTCGAGGTGTGGTTTCCGGGCTGTGTTTCTGACGGTCAGGATTAGGTGGCTAAAGTGCCTCCATGTAAGTTGCTCCCGATGTCGCTTATGTGTGGGGCCGTCAGTGTCGCATGTGCGCACTCTGCTGCTGCAGTGTTTTTCTTGGGGTAGTGTTTTGTTTGGAGTTTCGGAGTTCCGGGGCCCAGGCCTTCTCCGTGGGTCGGGATGTGTGCTCCTGTCTCCTGGATAGTGGGATCAATTCCTGTAAGGGGAACGTCGGTGCCCCTGGCTGCGGTTTTGGGGCGTCAGGCAGGAGGCGTCGGTGGTTTGGAGGGGCGTTGTGGGTTTTGTCTGCGCTACCCGTGGTCTCTCTTGGGTACGCTGGGCTTTGCCTATTGGGGTTGCCCTTGGGACTGTATGGGGGTTCCTGCTGGGCCTCCTTTACCACTGGCTTGTGCAATCTGGCCCCCTGTGTCCTTTCCGCTGGCTTCCAACGGTTTTGCCTGCCGCAGCAGGTTTTGGGCCATTTGGGCTCTCGGTGGTGCTGTCTCTTGCCCAATACGCTGGCTCTGGCGGACTCTGGTGTTCTTGGAGGTCCCCCCTTTCTGGTGGCATGGTAGGCATGGGTTACCCGGCTCACGAACGGGTGGGGGGTTTTCCTTGGGGACCATCGTGGGGTGCTGCTGGCTGTTTTTCACATGTGACAGTACCCTATACCCCGGTGGTACTTTGGTACTCTGGCTCGGTGCTATTTGAGTCTAGAGGCGGCTGGTCAAGGTTTTTGTCCGGTTGTTGCCGATTTGGTGGCCGATGCTCTGTCTTGTTCATTATCGAGCCTACTTCAGGTGGTGGTGTCACGGGGTCCATTTGTAAGGCAGTAGAGGTGTGGTCCCTTGGTCCGACGGTCTGCTGCAGCTGGTCTGTGGGCGATCTCTAGGGCGGCGTGGGGCCCGCTCCAGTAAGGTTGGAGTGTTCGGGACGGTTGGGTACGTTTTTCCTTTTGGGTCCCGGGATTGGTCTGCTCATCTACATGTTTGGTTCCGTCTATTGCGGGCGTTGGGGGCGATTTCTGCGAGTAGCGGGGCTCGGCTTCCCGTTCATGTTACGGTAGTCGGCAAGTGGGAGGGTGTTTTGGTGGAGTTGAGGGAGCGTTGGAACGGACTTCCTTCAGGTTTCGCAGCTCGATGGCTGTTGTCGTTGGGAAGGGTAGGTTGGTTTGAGTTTGGTTGTTTCATCGATAGAATCTGTTCAATTCTTGGATGTCGCGGGTTTGACTTTCTGCATTCTCCTGGGGTTGGTGGGATGCACGGGGTGATGGTTGGGGCTCCTGCCATGCTGTAATGGGTTTCCAGGATGGTCTGTAATATACCGTTCCGATCGGGGGCGGTGCAGGGTTCCGTCATTGGCCTGTTTTTCATTGGGAGTACCGTTCCGTCCCTTGGATTGTTCGGCCTCCTCCCCTGTTTGGTTCTCGGAGATGGGTTTTCCACCCCCGCGTCCATTTAGTTGGGGTGTTCCTCTTGGCGGCTCGGACTCCTGGATAAGGATGGTGGGGTTTTCAAGGGGCATTTAATTTGGTTGGGGCGGCTAAGGACACCGCCAGGCTGGGCGTGCCTGCGCCGATGGCTCAGAGGGCTCGAATGGTGGGAGTCAGGGTGGTGGGTTCCTTGGGTTAGCCTTGCTGGTCTCTGCTTGGATTTATCTCCGCGTTTACGGTTCTCCCCCCCCCGCCCCCCCGGACTGGGGAGGGCGGGGTTTTCGTGGGTAAGTTGGAAAGGGAGGCAGGGGCGAGTGGTTGGATCTTCCTCCTTCTGGGGCGGAGGTTCGGTGGTCTGGCTCCGGCTACGTGAAAGGGGGTGTGGCTCCTCCTCATACAGGGTCAGCTGCCCCGCCTCATGGGGTACCAAGGGTTTTGTCATCCCTGGGTGGAATGACATGGGCCGGTGGTGGTTTAGGACTTGGGTTCTCTTCGATCTGGACATGTTACGCATTACGTTTCTTCCCCGAGGTTCTCAGGGGCTAGGCTGTGCCTATCGCCCCTTTTCTGTTGGCAGTGCACTCCGCAATGTGAGTGCCCTGGTGCGCTGCCGTCGGTCATCAGACTAGATGGGTTTCTAGGTTTGTGGTGGCCATAACTAAATGACTAAATACATAACTGGCAAAATGAATATATAAAACATAAACACTTCCAGTTCGCCTTTTGGGTTTGGCCAAATGTGGCCTGGTTTTCTCGTAGAGTGGGGTGCGCTTGCTGGAGGTCGGTCTTGGCCTCTGCTGATCTAGCGCTGCAAGAAGTGGTGGAACAGGCCATGGCTGGTTGTGGTGGGGTCCCCCGCTGATTTTAGGTGTAAAACAGCGGGGTTGTGGCGGGGGTATGTCCTTGCCAATTGAGTTTGAGGTTACGTTTAAGTATATGGAATGAGATGAACAAGTTTTTTAAGGTCTCAAACCTCCCCTGCTTCAAAGGTTAAACTTTAGGTTGCCTGAGGTCTCGTGCCCATCGAGCGTGGGTAAAGTCGGCTGATGGCAGGCATTGGAAATATATGATTTTTATGACGAGGGGGGAGGTGAGAGAGAGTGGTGATTAGGAACCACTCTATGTTTATTGGCAAGGACGGTTGGGTCACTGTATAACACTATGGGTGGAGTTATATATGTATATATGTTAATTTATGCTTATTTATGTCTAACGTTTTGGTTACAGAAAGAAGAGATTTAATAAATAAAGTTATGGATGTGTTATGCAGTAATTTAGTTTGTGATAATAAATGCTGTGGCCTGTTTCATCCATACTAAGTGGTCTGTCGTTATTGGGGGGGGTTGAATGGGGTTGGATTTTGTTCTAGGCTGCATCACGATTCCCCACTACCTACATACAAGGCCCTGGGGAGATAGCGCAGCTAAGCGGACAAGGGCACATGTAGGAGTGTGGGGATAGATGCATGGGATTGGTAGGGAAAGAGTCTGTGGGTGTGATTATGTTCTGTGTAAGTTAGTGTGGGGGAGGTCTTACCTCAGTGCCACTTGGGATTCGGGCCAGCAAACAGCTTCCCTCCCGCCCACCCTATAGTATATTTCGTCACAGCTAGCCGGGGGTATGTCCTTGCCAATTGAGTTTGAGGTTACGTTTAAGTATATGGAATGAGATGAACAAGTTTTTAAGGTCTCAAACCTCCCCTGCTTCAAAGGTTAAACTTTAGGTTGCCTGAGGTCTCGTGCCCATCGAGCGTGGGTAAAGTCGGCTGATGGCAGGCATTGGAAATATATGATTTTTATGACGAGGGGGGAGGTGAGAGAGAGTGGTGATTAGGAACCACTCTATGTTTATTGGCAAGGACGGTTGGGTCACTGTATAACACTATGGGTGGAGTTATATATGTATATATGTTAATTTATGCTTATTTATGTCTAACATTTTGGTTACAGAAAAGAAGAGATTTAATAAATAAAATTATGGATGTGTTATGCAGTAATTTAGTTTGTGATAATAAATGCTGTGGCCTGTTTCATCCATACTAAGTGGTCTGTCGTTATTGGGGGGGTTGAATGGGGTTGGATTTTGTTCTAGGCTGCATCACGATTCCCCACTACGTACATACAAGGCAAACGTTGCCATAAAGTCAACTATGTATAGGTGAAAAAATATAATCCTATGAAAAAATTTTGACAATCTAATTCGCTTCCTGAAGCGAAAAATTTAACTTGATGTTATAGTGCAAAGATGTAAATCGCATAACGGTGCTCCACACTAGGGAAGACAATATACAAAACACAATATGTGCTGGCACTCAATTATGCACGGTGCAGGTATTCGAGGTTTAACCCCACAACAACCTCCTAATCTAAATCAAAAACAAATGTGAATACCGCACTCAAAACAATTACAGCAAAGTCTAATCTTATATTTAATTGCAAAAAGCTATTTATTATAATATTAATTCATAAGTTCATAGAGTCAATCATAGTAGAATACATTTCAATCCTATATACATAAGATATTTACATATATACACAGCAAATCCTCCCTATGTTAAATTACATGAGTAATGTATCTGTTTACAATGGTTAATGATCCAAAGAATGAATGTAGAAGATGATCCCAAAGAATTCAAAAAATAATAATAAAAAACTGTAAAAAATAAAAAATGAAAAGAGAAAAAAGAAAAAAGGAAAAAAATGAAAAAAAGGAAAAAAGAAAAAAAGAAAAAATTAGAAAAAATTAGAAAAAATTAATTATCATACAGTCCTGTTGTCTAATAGTCCAAAATATAGTGCACTATATGCTTCATAAGTCTATGGATAGATCTCACCAATGTAGAAGATAGCTTTAAGGTATGCTCAGTAGGAGGATGATGTAGTCTGTAGATGGTGTATAATGGATGAGGGTGAAACTGCTTGTAGTTTGGTGGAAAGACAATCAATCATTTAGCAGGATCTGGTCAGTATGACAGGTCATTCAATGATCCATGGAAGTAGGCAATCCTGGAAACGGGTTGAAATGGGCTGCGCGCTCGGGACGTTCCTGTCCCTTCGATGGCCCCTGTTCCTCTCCGCTCTGTCAAGGTATAAGCATATCAGTTTAAATATCCTAACTGGGCGGCAAATTCCGCCGCGACCACTCCGTGGACTTACTTCCGCCTTCTGACGTCAGCGTGCGTCGCTGCGTCATACGTATTCAACTTAACTTTTTTTTCCCTTTTTCCTTTTTTTCATTCTTTCGTTTTTTAACCTTTTTTTCTTCTCATTATTCTTATTAGTTTTTTGAAAAATGTTTGTTCTATTTTTTCTTTGATGGTACAACATATAGACAATTGATTTCTCCTTTTTTCTTTTTTATATATAGCTGGTTACTTTACTGGTTTATATCTACAGATATTTTTCTCTTGATCATCTGTTACAGGTGAGCTCTATAAAAACTATGCAGTAGTCAGATAGACTAATGGATAAATATCTAACAATTCTTTGTATTTCATGTCCACCAACATTTTCTGGTTTATTACTCTTTAGATTATTGTGTATTAATTGATTTTTGCTTAGGTTACTATATGTTATTACATTAATTTTTTTGAACATTATGGTATTTTTATAACTCTTTAGGTTTCTTCTAATGTGGATATATATACTCATTATCCCTGTAGTACCTTGTACTACACACTTTCATTAAGGCTTCATTCTGTATCTATGTTTCGTAAGTTTCCCCTATTTGTGTCAATATGCAATATGTTTGTGAACAATAAAGTTAAGTTGAATACGTATGACGCAGCGACGCACGCTGACGTCAGAAGGCGGAAGTAAGTCCACGGAGTGGTCGCGGCGGAATTTGCCGCCCAGTTAGGATATTTAAACTGATATGCTTATACCTTGACAGAGCGGAGAGGAACAGGGGCCATCGAAGGGACAGGAACGTCCCGAGCGCGCAGCCCATTTCAACCCGTTTCCAGGATTGCCTACTTCCATGGATCATTGAATGACCTGTCATACTGACCAGATCCTGCTAAATGATTGATTGTCTTTCCACCAAACTACAAGCAGTTTCACCCTCATCCATTATACACCATCTACAGACTACATCATCCTCCTACTGAGCATACCTTAAAGCTATCTTCTACATTGGTGAGATCTATCCATAGAC